TCCCTATCAGTTATAGTCACATGGAACAGTCTGACATGTCCTTTTCCAGGTCACTCACCTTGGGCTGAATTCTGACCACCCCAGCAGGCCTGTGCCCCAGGGTGGGGTTGTTGTCCCGTGACCCTGGGGCAGGTAACACCACAGGGACCACTGCATAACCACCGAGAGGCCGGGGCAGGATAGGGGGTGTGCCTGAGGGATAGAAGAGGCAAAATTTGGTGATTTTTTTGTTGTTTGTTTGCTCTATTTTTTCCCTTCTGATGCTTTTCTGTGCAGATTTTGTATGCATGTCAACTTGTACATGGATCTTTGTGATTATTCATTATGTAGCTATAGATACTGTATGTGTGATTTGCAGTACCATTGATCCAGTACCTTCTACCAAGGTAAATAAGCTACTTGCTCCTACCATACAGCTCAGGAGTGGGTGGACATGTACTAGTACTGATATTAATCAAAGCAGTATAGGACTGATGAATACAGTTTTACTGTAACTTAAAATACATGAAATGCATACACAATACGAGTAATCCATAGAAAATGCATCAATTTGGAAATATATGTATGTTGCGTACAACAATCTTGGACAGAGTTTTCTTTTTATAGTACTCCCACAATACATATATCCAAATTCTCAGTAAAGAACCACCCATTGCTGAAAATTTAGTGTTTCGCAGCAAGTGATCTTTTTTTTTTACAAGAAAAACTCATTGTGTAGGTATGAAGATATAGCTCACCAGATCTTGTTGTAATTTGAGGAACTGGTCGGCACCTCATCTGTGCTTCTCTTCGTTCCATCTGGTCTATTGTCAAACAGCGCTCCTGGAAACAGTAGTAATGGGACCTTAAATATTATTCTTCTTTCACATAGATCTACACTGTAATGTGCATTTACTTAAGTATAGTTCATTGCTTTATCATGTAATAGGATTTAGCACCATAGCAAACACTGTCAGGTGCTCTTTACTTTGTTAACTGTAAATACTTTGCGAACTTGTTTAACTCAAACAATATGACACATGAAACACACAACTGCTCATCATCAGGGCTCAAAATTAAAGGTGGTCCAATGGCCACTGACCACTAAAATTTAGGCTGGGACAACTGAAAAGACACTTTGGGACATTTTTGGGACAATAGAAAAATAATCAACATCAGAATGTCAGCCCTTCTTTTGTTTATCAGGCACACATCCTGGCTCTTGGATCCGGAAAAGTCCCTCCAAATTTCCTGTCTACACTGCAATTATAGTGCATGCACCTGGGAGTGAACATAAGCAAAATAAAGTTGCAATACTTCCAAAAAAGGTTGGGACAGTTCATCCTCACTTTGGGACAATTGAATTTTATTTTTGGGACAGTACTGGGACAATACAGTAGGAAGAAAAGTTAATTTTGAGGCCTGATCCAATGACATACCAGAGCTTCGTGACACAGAGTCCAGTATGACTGAGCCCTGCCACTCTCGCATTTTGTCGTCTCGCGTATGAAGATGTCGTGAAGGGAAAGGTTGTGTCGGATGGAGTTCTGAAATAAGTCAACAACAAAATACTGTAAGAAACAAAGTGGCTCACAAACATTTGAAATTTATCACACTTTCATAATATTACAGGTCATATTTGCCTCTCTTCTGTGGTCTGTATTTAAAATTATATACTAGTAGATTCAACACATGCATTTCAACCTGTGTTGGGGAGGGTGGATTTAACTGACCTTCCATCCTTGCTTTGCGGTCTTGAAGTACGGGAAGCGATCTTCGATCCAGGCGTAGATTTCCTTCAGTGTCATGCGGCGCGCAGGACTGCTGTTGATGGCAAACTGTATGAGCGCCATGTAGGAGTAGGGCGGGCGGTTACTGTCATGGGTCTTCCTCTGGGGCTGGGGATAGAGGCAAGAACTATTAAAATATTCTCAGATATACACATACTAAGTACTATACTAGTATTGTTGCAATGGCAGACCAAGGCCCAAAATACTATCCTTGTTTCTGCAAATTATAGCCTCTATCAGGCTTCAGAGGCCGCTGGAAAAAGTAGGACTAGCAGAGCGTCAAATTGTAGTCATTTAGTGGACCAAATCACCTGCCATGTTATCTGCCTATTTGGCCAATTTCTGCTCTTTTACGCCATGCCACCTCTGAAGCCTGGGATATGTACTAGTAATTTGTAATAATGAGTCCATTTATATAGCCTGCCAAATAGCAAGTTGCTAAAACTTCTTTGCAATGTCATGAATTTTGATACAAACTGTAGGTAAACATTTAAAGCCCTGCAGGATGGCCAGTTTTGTGCTTATATAATTTCAAATTTTAGTATTTCTCTGGAAATTTTTAGATGCCAGCAATATCTCTTGAGAGCCTGACAGAATGAAACAAAAATTATTCTTTTCAAAATTTCAGTGATCAAAACTTTGCGTAAATTTGATTTACTGATCCCTGTCCCTCTCTCGTTGTACTGACAGCCCTTACCCTGCCTATCCTGTTATAGCTCCTCTCCTGCCTGTCCAACAGAGTGTTGGCTCCCATCTTCCCCAGCCAGTGGATATTGGTCAGGCTGTCGTCCATCTGCAGCAAAGGATCCTGGGAATGCCCACCTGACAAGGTTTCAGTGAAAGATGGAAGCTCAAATCAAACATTTCATTTATTTCACATGAACAGAAGGTAGAACAGAAAGGCTAGCAGAGCCAGCAAGTCAAGTTTTTCTCATTGGCATTGTTGTTCAATAGAAAAATGTTCTTGTCATAGACTCAGAGCACACATATCCAGAGAGAAGGGGTTGTGTGGGAGAAAAATGCCCAATATTTTGAATTTGAGCAGTGGATACTCAAAATGTTGTACTTCACTACACTGGAGGTCTAGAGAAGTGGTCATTCCTCCCAAGGCAGGCCTCTACATGCGTGTGCTTTTGTTCAAACAATTACTAGTACAGATTTCTCACAAAACAGAACATCATACATGTTTATCTATAATATAAATCAAAATCCATACATGAAAATTATCTTTTCTCTCTTTTTACCAGAAATAGCTGCCTGCTGCTGTCCTCTCATCTGTTGTAGACCTACTGATGAGCTCCTTCCTGGCACCAGTGGCACAGCAAAGTTCCAGTCCTGTTTCTTCCCCTGTCTGACCTGCTCTGTCACTTGTCTGCCTGTACATGTGGTGCCGACATCACCCTGCAGCGTTGTCTGCACCAGGCTTTGGACTGCTCGACTGGTCTCGTCCTGAGGAACCGGCTCAGACCAGTTCTGTGGTGGGTAACTCTCCGTCTTGACCACAGGCTGTAGCTTAGTAGGTACAGATGCCGCTGCATTGGCTGAATTTCCGACATACATGACACTAGACTTTCCAGCTGCAGCAGTATTCAGACTTATCCCTGGGTTGGGTTGGACGGTCATGGGAGCTTGCAAATTCGATATCCATTTAGGGTTGACAACTTTTGCTGCCTTTGTGCCTGCACTTGTTCCACTCTGCGGGTTGCTCAGAATCTGGATATTTTGCGGCACCATGCCAGGTTTTGTCGCAGGCGCAGGACGGATGATGATGATCTTTCGAACTTTGGACAAATCAGCTTGCTGATTGTTGGCAGAGTTTGCAGCCATACCCAAAACCGGTACGGCCATTACGCTTGGTCTCGTAACCTCCGGCATTTTCCGTGCGTAAGGTACAGTCTGTGCTTCAAGTGTTTTATTGGAGATGTTCTTTGCTACATGATTGAGTAGAAGTCCAGCTGACTGCGGCACTGGGACCCCGAGAAGGGAGGACTGTGGAGTCTGTCCTGGGTTGTCTGCACTGGAGCCACCGCAGGCAGCCATGGTTTGTCACACTCTCCTTGTGGGAAGTGGGCAGACACTGGGCAGACTTTCACATAACAAATGGGATTGTTGGCTGACTCTGTGGAAATAGAAAGGAACAAATTAACTGGAGCCTAAGCTCCTACGTGGCCGAAGACATCTACTCTACTCTACTCTACTCTAATAAATTGTATTCGTGATTGGAAAATTGAACAATAAGTTGGGAAGAATGCTCCATTCTTGAAAAGTAGGACAAGCCAGGAAATGTATTCATGACCAAATGCAAATTTAGTAATTGTACAGCACACTGTTCCCTTACACCAAGGAGGTTTAACCCTCCTTGCTTACACTAAAAACACCAAAAAGGGGATAACTTATTCATAATCAAAATGTATAAAGTTAAAGTGAAGTTAGTAAAGTAAGACAGCAAGATGTTCAAAACAAACTACATAATATATTTAAAATATTGTATTGTATTGATAGTTATCTAACATGCAATTTTCTGTGCATAGGAAAATTGAGTTAAGTTCCATGATAGACGGGTTTGCAGACCTTCCATTAGAATCAAGTCCATGCTCGACTTCTCCAGCAAAATACTAGTATATGCTGACAGTTGATCAGCAAACATGTCATGTCATGTGTGTTGAAATATCTTTAATAAAAATTATGGCAGTGATTACAAATGAATTTATTCATCATATGGAAACAAATAAAATATTTCACTATATACTACACAAAGTTGCACTAACGGTATGATTTTATTTTTACCTTTTTAAAGCCCTGGGTTCGTGGCCTCTGTCGATGCAAAAATATGGTTGACAACAAAAACAAGTCCAACAAACTTCAACCTCTTCTAGCTCTGTTTACACCAAGGTC